AACTGCATCATGCTATTGCTCTTCCAGTGATCTTTGTTTTGAGACCAGCTTAGAAGTAGTTGTATTCATCAATCGAATGCACTGTAGCAGTGTAATGTAGCACTGTACACCTGGGTGTACCGCTCTGTCACGGACTTAGCTGGTTTTGCCTAAGTCGTGCGGCACCCTTGCATGTTCGTCCCTAAAGGTCAGCCTCCCCGAAGCCTCCCATTGTCCCTTAGGACCAACAAAAGAGAGAATGGGCCAGAGAGAATGCCTCAATCAGGATCCACAAGCAAACATCTCCGAAAAACACTTCATAGACAATGCAAATTACAAACAGACTTCATAAGCTCTGAACAGTGGCACAACAAAGGGTAAAATGGTCCATTACAGACCGAAAATCTCTCGCACGTGTCCACATGACACAACCTTTATTTACAAGCCTAAAGAGGCCACCAACCCAACTAAAATGGGACTATTAAGCCTTCGGCCGCCCCTCTACATGTTGTACAAGGCATGAACATCCCAAAAGACACGGACATACATAAGCATTACATCAAACATCTTGTTTAGAAGTTTGTCCGTGACAGCTCGGTATACCGTACCGTACCGGTACCGAGCCCAGGTCAAAATACCGGTATGGTACGATATTGCGAACCTTGATTCAAAGTTTTAGTTTTCTGGATAGCTAGTTCGACTTCTATCGCCTATCGCTGCAAGAAATGATTTGTTTTATGATTGTATCGGCTGTTTCTTGAGTTTAGTATACACCAACTGCATCATTTGAGATAAGCTTAGAAGTAGTTGTATTCAACAATCGAGTGTTATACATCATTTCTTGCTGTGGTTCAAAGTTTTAGGTTTTTTGGATTGCTAGTTCGACTTCTATCGTCTATTGCTGCAAGAAATGATTTGTTTTATGATTGTATCTGCTGTTTCTTGAGTTTAGTATACACCAACTGCATCATTTGAGTTTAGCACATTTCATACCTATGCTTTATCATCCACTATAGTAATTGGAAATAGATTTGGATTAAGATGTCTGTTATAACATTTGGACAGTGGCTGTCAAAAATGTAATAATTTTGAGCCCATTTGCGTCAAACTGATTTGGATTAGCATATATCAGGTTAGGCACCAATTTAATTCCAAGACTTAAGCTCTATGGGTTAAATCTAATATATACTATATAATCCGACTCCATCAATCCTTAGCGATGTGAGACTATACTCTTTCAAGACTTAAGCTTGTCAGTCGTGGATCAAACCTAATATATGCAATCGGACTTTATCCATCTTTAGCGATGTGAGACTATGCTTATTCTATTCTCTTGTTCTACACATGAATATTTCCAAGGGTGGCACCAAGTAGTTATGTTCTTTCATTCTCACCTGGATTATTCCATAAGAAATCAAGAAACACTAATAAACACCCAAAAATGTGAACCTATTTTCTGGTTTGTATACATTGGGTATGTAGCCAAACATTAGTGAAATTTTATGATGTTTGAGATAACAATTTAGATCACATATCTCTATGAAAATAACTAGCTTAAAGTCAGAGATCATGAAGTTTGTCACATTAGATATCTTGGAAAAGTCAACAAGTTCATTTCCTATGTATGTCTTCATGTTTGACTAATAAGTCTTTTTCCTCTTCCAGTGAAGAAAATATAGTCATTGTAGATTGTTGTCTTTTATTTTTTATTAAATGCAGTTGGGATATATTTTCAAAAATTAATAGTTATTTTAGGTGGCTTACCTATGGAAGGATAAATTGGTTGAAGCTGTATGTGACAATTAAATTTAAATTAAGTAATAGGTCTTGAAAACCCAATTTTACATGAAACTGTTTGCTTTGTTTTATTGAACATGGCTGCAAGTTTAATTGAAAAAGTTCCAGGCCACATTTTGGATTATGGATCTCAGTTCCTCGTATTCTATCCCACTGGAAATTTAACTGCTGATGTCGTTCCACTGAGTGCCACATGGACTTCTTTAGATAGGGAATCCAGAAGGCGACATTACAAAGATCCGAGTCATTAGAAAATCTTACAGAGTGTCTGCTTGTTAGCAAACTACTGCAGGCTTTCTGCTGGAACCATCCTGTGCGTGTCTGTTTATGTTTGCCACTCAAAGCTTGATGTTTTGTTATATTGGTTTTTCAGGGAGAAAATATGACTATAAAAATCTTGCTGTTAGAAAACCCACATTGATAAGGGAATGATTTAAAATGTTCCTAATGCTTCAGACATTGCTTGTTTAGCATTTCCTATGATCAGTTGATCTTGTGCCCACAGTTTAGATAATGTGTTAAGTGGTGTGTTGGATATGTGAGCCATGGATATGTGTGCCATGAATCAGACATGATTCAACAATAACTTTGTTTGATGCATAAATCTTTTCCTGTTTCTTTAGTATCCTTCCCTTTTGTAATATGAGATGGCTAACATTTGAAATGAACAGGGAGATGTGATCAAGGAGGAAACAAGTCGAGGGTTGAACCCAGGGTTGGTGGTCTTGCTTGTTGTGGGAGGACTTATACTGCTCTTCCTCCTCGGAAACTATGCGCTCTATATGTATGCACAGAAGACCCTTCCGCCAAGAAGGAAGAAGCCAATCTCAAAAAAGAAGTCGAAGAGGGAAAGGCTCAAACGAGGGGTGTCTGCACCTGGAGAGTAAACATACACAGTAGCCAACGAAGAAAAAGAAGATATTGATGATGAACACTTTATTTCGTAGATTTTGTTTATTGACGAATTGGCTAACTGGTTTATACTAAACTTGATCGATTCTCAGACCAGAATTGCTATAAGCATGTCGAATGTTTCTCGGCAGATCATTAGAATCCTTCAGTATGTATTCTTTCAATATCATCAAATCCGAGTGGCATCAGATACATCATCATCACGTTCGATAGCCACAACCCAGCCGTCTTATTGTAACACATCCTCCGTTTTCCTATCCATGAACTGGTATTCGCTGTGATTAGAACATCTCGGTCATGATCAAGAAGAAGCAAAAATAATAATTCGAAAGCAGGAAATGAATCTTACAGTTCTACCGCCGTCTCTTCTCCTCGACGGCGAGTTTTTGGGATCTGAAGAACGATTCGAGGCGATGTTAAGATTGTAGCTGCCTAGTAATAGGGAGTCGTAAGGAAAGCCTCACGGTATACCTGTCCGGGGTAGCTCCGGAGGAGGCAAGGAAGCGTGCGTCTCCGGTCCCCTGTAGTCGGCATCATACAACCCCGTAGTGCTAGTCTCTGAAACAAAGCAGATTTCTCAGGCCCAAACTATTGATCAAAGGTAAGCGAGTGGGAAGTTTCATGTGATCAAACCTCTGCAACGCACAGCGACGAGCACGACGGCTAATGAGGCGACGAGGATGGCGATGCGGTACCTGTGGCCCATACGAGACTCCTGCTGCCGAGAAAAGTAGGCAGAGAGCAGCAGCAGTCTTGTGTCACTTATGTAGAGCAGTCCAGGGATTGGCCTGTCACAGTTTGGCCAGCACAGAGCTGGGTGGCAATGGCGACACCTGTTAAGAAGCAATAGTAGGTAGGGGGTGGACACTTTTGGGTGGAAGTAATTGCAGACAAGACAAGCCCATGTGAGTGTCATTTTAGCTGGTATCATCAGTTTTGTCTTGGCTGGACACAGCTACGTATTTGGTGACAGTGCCACAAACAACTGATAGAGATATTGACAGAGATGCAATTAATACATGTATCTCCTGGCAATTACAGAGTAGGAAGGAAAAGAGGAACCGTAACAATGAAGAGTTCGTGAAGATATCTGACCCAACCTCCTCCAGACTTTTAGCTTCATCCGAGGATGAGGATGAGGATGAGAAGAGAAGCAACAAATCTGCATGGCTTGTGATTTATTCTGAAATAGCTGTAATAATTCAAGGAAACGGAAAATGAATATTCTGCTCTTCTTATGTTATGCAAAAACTGTTGCATCAGTGATCTTAAGCACTGGTGTTTGCAAGTGGTAACAGCCAAAATGTGATATCACTCGTTACGAGTCTTCTTCCTTTGATGGAGTCAGCTGCACGGCAACAGGATCTGAGATGGTCTTAGCCAAGTTGTGCTTCCTCTCTGCCTGCAGCGACCTGCATAGAGATTCAAGCTTTTCTTTCTGGTTCTTCACTTTTTCCAGCTGTTTCTTCATTGACTCGCGCTTCCAAAACAGCAGGGAAAATAGAACAATAAGAACAGCATCCCAAATATCTTTTGGCATAATATTAAACTACCATTGGTTGTAACAGATAAAAAGATAATTAAGATCCAAATATTGTTTAACTGGTTTGAACCATGATCACACGAAAGCTAAATTAGTAGTATCCTTAAAACTGCAAAGAAATTAGTATCCTTAAAACAGGGGGTAATCTTCATGATGAAATCTAACTCCAGATAAATCCGCCATAAAATGTCTCTCACTAATCAAATATGCAAGAAGTTCTCTTGTGGTCCAAAATCATAATGGAAAGAAAATGAATATTCAGGCATGCAATAACTCATGACAAGTTGATAACCATCGGATCAAACTTCAAGTTAAGAGTTGGTTGTGTCACAAAAGATGATGCCCAAACACTTTAGTTTCAGTTAACACAGGGATTCTCATGCTGAGACGTGCAAAAATTGTGTTGCATTGGTATCAGCCATTTTTTAGTACAGATGGGTCAATTTTTTACCAATTTTTTGCATGCCAAACAGTAACAGTTAATAATAATTTGCCAGCTCAGCTTACCTCCTCAATGAGCTTCACCAGTGCAATATCTGACTTCTCGCATTTGCTCTTTAAAAATTCATTTTCTTTCTTAAGTTCCTTTATCAATTTTGTCATCTGATCAAAATTCAAGTCACAAAGAGTATATTCAATAGGTTTTACTTAATTCAGTTGAAAAGAGAACAAGAGTAAGTATATTGGTAAATCATAAATTCGAAATGCAGGGGTTTCTCCACATCAACATGCAATACCCACTAAAAGTCATTGTTACCTTTTCCATCTCCTGCTTAAATGCTTCAAAGACCTCGTTACTTTTTGACAAAGCATCCTGAAGCAGAATTTCAAATAATACTTGTTACTCTGTTCTGTATCAGTTGAAGGTAAAATATCTAATCATCAGAATGAAAAATACTGTTGATAATCATCTAGACAAAATTATCTTAAATTGACAGAATACAAGAATTGAAACGTAAAGGGCTTAGATCACGTTACAATTAGCAAAAATAAAGCTGAGTTCAAAGAGCATTTGATCTGCCAGTTAACAAGAGCAAGAGCCACATTAATCCCTTGCCCCATCAAACATCCAGATGTCATTTATGGATACTCACTCAGTCACCAACTCTCATGGTGAGAACATATTTTGCCACATTACCAACCATCTTAAATCCTATACTCATAATTAAAAACATTAGCAAAAAAGAATTTTAGGTCCTAAGAAATTAGGTGGCAGTTTGTAGGACTAGAAAACTAAGGTGTCAAGGAGAACACAGAGATGTTCTTAGAGGATATTCAAGATGTTTGCTATGTTATAACCCCAAGACAAGGAAGCTGCTAGGTTCTTATTGGAACATAGATATAGAATGAGCCATTATGACTCATGAAACATGCTGGAAAAAGGTCCAATCAGTTAATGGTTATTATGCGACAAACCTTCTGATGTCACCCTTCTCTTGCACAAACATAGACACTCTATGGTGACTAGATGTGACATTATACACTTGCCTAAGCGCTCGGGCGAGGCGAGACAAGGCCCGAGCGTCTCGTTTAACATCCAGGTGGCATGCTTCAAAGAGGCGCCACCTGGGCACTCGCCCGAGCCCAAGTGTTGAGCGCTTCGGGCGAGCGCCCGATTTAAACCAGGCAACTGAACCAACTTTTTAGGTATGGTTCGTTAGCATTTGTATTAGTTGGTTCGCAGCCTCCCTGTCACGAACAAAACTGTAAACAGGGTGTTTATTGTGATGCTCATATATGTTCGTGTCCTTCGGTTTGTTCATGCTTTGCACAACATGTAGAGGGACGGTCGAAGGCTTAACAGCCCCAATTTAGTTGGGTTTGGTGGTCATTTTAGGCTTGTAAATAAAGGTTGTGTCATGTGGACACTTGTGGGAGATCTCGGTCTACAGTGGACCATTTTGGATCCTTTGTTGTGCGACCGTTCAGAGCTTGTTTAGTCTGTTTGTAATTTACCTTGGTTATGAAGTATTTTCTGAAATGTTTGCTTGTAGATCCCGAATGAGACATTTTCTCTAACCAATTTTCTCTTTTGTAGGTCCTAAGAGACCATGAGAGGTTTCGGGGAGGCTGACCTTTGCGGCCGGACACGCAAGGGTGCCGCACGACTTAGGCAAAATCAACTAAGTCCGTGATAAATGGTATCAGAGCGGGCACTCATAGAAACACTTGGCATGCAAACGTGGGGTGACCTAATGGGGCTGCATTGAGGGCAGCCAATACGCGCGACCGTTTGGAGGAAACGGGCATAGAGATGTAGGGTAAAGGAGTCGCTAAGAGGAGAGGGCATTTGGAGATTGACATTTAGAGGAATGATCAACCCTTCGCGCAAGAGGCACCACGAGGACAAGCAAGCTGAGAAGAATGCGTAGCGCACAAAGGTTGGGATGGCTGAGTTTAAGCTACGGCTCAACGTTGGCAACCATACTTGATGGTGCTCAAGGCAAGCGAGACGCTCGATAAAGGATGAGACCATATAAGGTGGAATGGATTTTTCAGCAACTGAAAGAGTTGTGCAAAGCTCACAGAGATAAGGGGAATTGCTAACTCGAAGAATTCGGTACTCATGTAAAGGCTTGTATACGAACGATTGAGTGTTCGGGGCCATCCCAAGACGACCGAAACTCGATGCCATGGAGCATTAAAACTTTCTCTTCAGCATGAGAAGGATACGTTTGTAGAAGGCTGGAGTGTGCAGGGAGTTCAGCATATTGCTAGGCCTTGAGGGATGCAGCAGTGGGCAGTATTGACGTGGAGTCGCAATCTAGCAAGTGCGTTTGCGGGAGGCAGAACAATGCACAGTTTGTTTAGCAAGGCGAAGTAGTCCAAGGGGATGGTGGTCTCCGAAACTTTCAAAGTGAAGGAAGCGAAGAGAGAAGTTGCTCCAACGGGACAGATATCCAGGAGGGATAAGTCTCGGCTCTCCAGAGTGAGAACCATGTGTAATGGACCGCACATGTTGAGGAGGAGTACCTCAAAACAACTCCACAAAGCTCAACTTACTGAGCGAGCGACGAGGAGTCGTCGTATGATCTCGCTTGAGATAATGCATTGAGGGATGCATTACGAGATCAATTAGGGGAGCGATCCAAGGCAACAAAAATTAAGGCACACTTGGAGTCGATATGGAGATCGGACTCAACGAAGGGCTGACCCGTGGAATGGTGGGCGCGAGGGCCGCCATCAATTCAATACAAAACGATGAGCAGAACAACTTGGGTGTAACTTGACGAAGTACCCAAGCCGCATGAAGGGAGCCGACATAGAAGATGGAACATGGAGCGAAGGCACAGAGCTTTTCTTGGACAGAGGTCAAGGATATGAACTCTTGCAGAAGCAAGTGCGGGATCATGTCGTTTCATGGGTCCTTAATTCTGATGGAGCGGGCTCATTCTGCATGGTGTCAAAGACGAAGGGAGCTTCGAGGCACATGCACCTTACCTCAGAGAAGCATTTGACGGAGGAACTGAGGCAACTCAACTTACGGAGGCGAAGTTGGGTTCAGAAGGCCTTGGCACGGGGCAAGAGGACGCAAATGTGGGTATTCTTAAAGAATATGCCACAGTACTGCCATTTAAGTTGTCATGAAGGGAGCGATGCATAGCGGAGATTGTGCCGGTATGGGTAGAGGCCTAGGATCTAGACAATGGTGCACCAATTTCAGCGAAGTCGGTGGACTTCGGGAGCTACTAGGTGATAGACTATCCTAGAGCGGTGCTTTGTCTAGATGTGACCCGAGAGCGGGTGGACGAAGGTCGATTGCCAAATAAGCAAACACAATCGAAAGTGAAAGAGGTCATGCGAGGTGTTGGCGGAGGCCACACATAGAGGGATCACAATCCGAGTTCATCCCACAAGGATCAGAATGCAATGGAGATGTCACCAGGAGGCGACATGGTGCAGCAGATCGTGGTGGAACAGTTCGTGGCAATGTGATACACACGAATCTAGTCCCGTGAGAGACTATATCATACAGAGGTATGATCGGGAGCTATTAGGAGCTCCACTTCGGTGAACAATACGATGACAAAATGGGCTATGGATCAAAGAGTGAAGGTCATGGTACCGTAGAGGTAGGTCTTCCGTGCGTGCATCGAATTTTGCATCGGATAAAAGCCTTGGTTATCAGCATATGTGAGTTGTGTACTGCCGAGGGAAAAGTTTGAATGCAAGTACCAATGAGTCCCATGGGAGGGACTTGATCATGCAGAGGTATGATCGGAGCGGCTAGAGAGTTGGACTGCTCCAGAGCTCATATTCGCTTAAGGGAGCCCGACAAGTCAGAGGACAAGATCGAGTAAGCGAACATTGCTACCAAGGAAGCTAAAGAGAACATAATTGATGTGAACCCCGCAACAAGATAGTGGAGACCATACATGGGAGTTACAGTCTGTCTTTCCATTGACCAAGGGGAACTACTTGGAGAACACAAAGGTGTTGAAGTAGAGGGTCGAAAGGGGCGAGGAAGCGACAACGAGTCCAGAGGGACTTAGCTACCCAAAAACCAAGCATCAGTTAGAATAGAGGTGGACTCGGAGGAGTGCCACAGAGGCAGATCTACCGATCGTGAAGAAAGGGATGCAGATGTGAGGCGACGGATAGTATGGTCATAGGCATGGCAGCGCCATGGTACCGCACATGCGGGACTTCCGTGAAGTCATCAATCCTTAGCTCTCATGGAGGGAGAACACTTGGTCGTGAAAGGGGCCGAGGAGGTGGAGCATGCAAAGGCAAACTTCAAGTACCGAGACAAGGCTAAATGGCAGAGGCTAGGGAACTTCGTAGGACCGGTGTTAATGAACTTCTCATCAAGATAGCCAAAAGTGAAGGGCTTCGGGTCGTGCAAGAGTACACGACCACCAAGGAACGAAGCAAGCAGTACGCAGTGTTGTACATTTGCTACTCAGTGGAGTAGGCAGCAGGATTGATGGAGAAGACGGTACAATCCCAGAGGCGACCAAAACTATTAAAGACTTACTCTAAGTTGGGGTGAAAACTTCCTACATTCTAGAAGTTCGATAGCATTGAGAAGGTGAATCACAGTAACAAACTTAACGCAAGGAGTGAAAACACTTCAAGTGCTTCAGAAGTGTGAGCAAAGAGCGGGCGAAGGCTAATAACCAGCTCGATGCACGGAGTACAACACTCGAGGAGGTAGGCGAAGTCAAGTAACCTTTGTCTTCTCAACTCTTAAGAGAATAGGCGAAACCGAGTACCCCAATTCTCTTATCTATCCAGCACAGAAGCTCTGCACATATTTAAGGACCCTTCAAAGAAACCAAATAGAAGACAATAGTTGTCAAATCCTCACCAATGGTGATCAGTACTACTAAGAGTAGATTATCCGCTTTATTTCCCAACAAAATGCTAATCGAAAGCGGAAGTGATGCGAACCTACTTGGAAGTGGCAACTAAGTGAAAGAAGAGTCGATGGGTAAATTTTGTAGAGGAAGGACCCTAAAACTTCAAAGTTTACGAGGTGATGCTCGTTAAAACTCCAACAAGCATCCACCCAGTTCAAGCAGCATGAGGCATTTGAGAGACTGGCGCATAGTAAGGATGGCTTTTTCATTCATTTGAAGGATCCGCAGGAGCCAACAGGGATCAACACAACTCAGCCAACCCCACACTAGAGTCAGAGTCATTGGCGAGTTGAAACATCATGACAGATCAAAAGCTCAACTACTCAATAACAGTAGCGGAGAGCAGTTGGGAGCCAACAGACGCATTGCAGCTGGAGCATAAGATCGAAGACTAAACAAAGGTGAGGAGTTGCAGTGTCGGCAAAGGCTTCGACGAGAACATCGAAGGAATAAGTGGGGGAGAATGTCACGAACAAAACTATAAACATGGTGTTTAATGTAATGCTAATGTATGTCTGTGTCCTTCAATTTGTTCATGCTTTGCACAGCATGTAGAGAGACGGTCGAAGTCTTAACAACCCCAATTTAGTTGGGTTTGGTGATCATTTTAGGCTTGTAAATAAATGTTGTGTCATGTGGACATTTGTGGGAGATCACGATTTGTAGTGGATCATTTTGGATCCTTTATTGTGCAACCGTTCAGAGCTTGTGAAGTCTGTTTATAATTTGCATTGGTTATGAAGTGTTTTCTAAAATGTTTGCTTGTGGATCCCGAGTGAGGCGCTTTCTCTAACCCGTTTTCTCTTTTGTAGCCATGGGAGGTTTCGGGGTGGCTGACCTTTGCGGACGGACACGTAAGGGTGTCGCACGACTTAGGCAAAACTAGCTAAATCCGTGACATCCCCCTCGCGACTTCCCCCAAACCCAACCCTACTCATGATTCCGTCGTCGATATTTCTTCTCTGCTACCGCCGTTGCTGCCTCTCTCCGATGCTGCTGTCACTGCTCTTTGCTGTCGCTGCCGCTCTCCTCTCTTGTTGTCATTGCCTCTCTCTGCTACCACCTGCTACCATTGTCACTGCTCTCCGCTGCTGTTGTCGCTGCCTCTCTCTGCTGCTATCACTGCTCTCCACTATCGTTGCTCTCCACTGCCACTGTCGTTGTTCTCCACTACCGCCCACTACCGCTGTCGCTGCTCTCTACTACTATTGTCGCTGCCTCTTTCCGCTACCGCCTGCTGCTGCTCTCTGCTGTCGTTGCCTCTCTCCGCTACCACTGTCGCTGCTCTCAAACAACAGCCTCCTGTCCACGTCTGAGTCCTCACCGTGACTCAGCTTCTTACCTCAGTCTCCTCACACTCTATTGTTAACAGTAAAGAATATTTTAAAATATTAAAATATATTTTTATATTTTAAATATATTAAAATATATTTATTATATTTTAATATTTTGGAGTGCCTCGTTTCGCTCAGGCATTTTGAGACCTTAACACCTAGCACTTTTTAAATCACTATTACAGGTGCACCATGCTAAAAAGAGGATTAGGATTTAAGATTTGATCAAATTAAAGTGAGACCTAATAACAGTAGTATGGTTTAATGATTGGTCCACCAATTTGATGATTTATTCAGAAATGACAACAGAAAAGCAAAATCAACCTGCATCAAAAAGTGGACATAAATTCCTCTTGCAATTATGGGACACACTAATTACAATCTATATGAAATTATATCAGTCTAACTCCAAGCACTAATATGCTGATGATTTTTTCTTTTGTGTACCAAAGTCAACATTAGATTAGACCTTCAAATTGATAACCAGCAAATAATTTATACCTAACTTGTTATTGTTACTTTGGAATAATTTGAATAAAATTTGATACTTATATTCAAATACCTGGAATTGCTGAAATCTTTCTTCATCAGCTGCTAACTGTAGACGCAAACTCTTCTCCGTGGCCATTAGTTGTGAAACTTGTTCGGCGTACAGTTGCATCTGGGTTTCTTCCTTAGCAGACTTCTCTTCCTGTTGCTTAAGTTTCAAATCAGCAAGCTGAAGTTCTAGCGTCTTCTGCTGTAACTGTATGCACATAGTTTATATAGTCCAGGCAAAAGACTAGTGAGTCTGAAAGTCAAAGTCATGGTTTATCTACACACCGAAATTAAAATATAGTAACTTCAGAAGATTCTAAGTTCATGAAAAGCTTACCTTTTGTGCAAAATGTTGCTCAGAGAGAGAGTACTGGTCAGCAAGAAGTTTTAACTTATTTCTCAGCCTAAAAAAAGGAAGTAATTGGTCTGTAAAGCAAAGTAACCAAATAATAATAAAAAAATCATTTGCCAAGAAGGAAAGATAACAGCATTATGTTCTAGTTGAAAAGAACAAATCATTATAACATAACTACATCAATAACCAAAAACTTTAAGCAGTTGTAACAAACAATGGTAGTTGGAATCTAAGTTGCATCATACAAGTTAAGAAAACTAGGTGATTCCCAACAATCAAGATCAGGAGTATAAACAGATTATCGAAAAACATAGATGAGAAACCTATGGATTTCAAAAACATCAAAACATTTCATTCAAGAAAGATATTAGCTTATTTGGAGAACTAAGAGTTAAAAGCTATACTTTTTTATGCATAACAGCAAGGAAAAATAAAAAAGATGCAATCATGTGGACATCCAAACTACTGCATTGGTAAGCACAATATATCTTAAAAGTCAGACATCTTATACTAGGCTAATAGTTGTCACTAGACATAATACCGGTCACCCCAATTTTGGAGGTTATTCCTACTGCTGGGAGCAGACAACATATGTGCATGAGCATGCACACATATTATTATGTTGAGACAGAAAGCCAAATGAAATGAAAAGGAAGGTTAGGCATGGCTTAGAAAACATAATATCTCTAAGAAGTCTGGTTCCAGACTTCTAGATGTGGGCTCAAATGTTTTAATTTATGAACCCTGAATAGAGAAACCAATTATCATCTCTTTTTACCCAAAAAAAAATGAGTTGGTAAAAGAAAATGTCGGAACATGTGCTGATGAGAACCCACAGTATCTAGGATGCCATAGGATAAGGGAGAGGGTACATGGTTGCCAGTACATTCATCAAGCATTCAGAGTTCTTCCAGCCTATGCTAATGCAAATTAAGTGCTGGTCTTGCATGAATTTGTACAGTTTTATAGCAAATTAAATGTTACTCATTTTAATCAAGAAAGTGCGGGACACCAAATTCTTGCCCAAATAAAAATGAAAAGAAAATTCTCCTGAAAAATAAACCTACTTCAGATTAATCATGTAAGATATCCTTATCTGAAAAGAAATTTCCAAGAATCTTACATCTCATTTTCCTTGAGCTGAGAAAGGCATTCATCTTTTTGCACTTCAAGCTTACTGCTTATGTCCTACAACACAACAGGGCAAAAGCTATTTATTAATGAATTTCTTGTAGTAGAAACAGAAAGGGACTAGACCACTAAAAGAACATAAACACAAAACAAGTAGAGAAAACAATACTAGAAATAGGTTCTGAGATATGGAAAGAGATTGTGGAAGGAAAATGTAGACAAATGAAGAAGTTCTGGTTTTGCAATGAGTACCTCCTGAATGCGAGCAGATACTTTGCCAGGCCTCAGTTTTTCTTGCACAATGTGAGCTTTTATAACTAGTCCTAGCCTTGACACAATTTCCTTATATGCAATCCATGAATCATATCTCCACATTTTAACCATAAATTTTGTTGTTAAATGCCAAAAAAATTATTGTCACTGAAATTAAGAGAAAAAACTTATCTCGTATAAGGTCAGTCAGGCTAATCCAAGAATCAACCAACACTCAGTTTCTGGGAACAGATATTGCTCTTTGCTTTGTTTACTTCTCCAACAGATTCTTTTTGCTGCTTTATAATTCATATTCAGTTCCTTCCATTTCATACTTTGTTCATCATAACACTGGGCCTATGGTAGCATCTTTAACTAGTTCATTTTATGGGGCACTAAAGATAAATTAAAATAAAGTACAAAGAATGTATAGAGTCTAGACATAACAGAAGATAATATACATACTATGCAACTATATTTTGAAATGAATTCTTTTGTTCATTTTAATCATTCATGATTCAACAGTTGTCTTTCTTAGTCTTGGAAGTATGGTATAGGTCATCAGCATAAACTTCTAGTCAGAAGAAACTAGCTGGTTCATGGCAGATGTTCAATAGAGGGTGCATTTCAATGACTTAGCTACAAGATAATGACTTCCTAAAGAAAAAAAATGTTTCAAGACAAGCCATTTCAAACTGCATAACAATGAAAGAACAAGAATATAAGCTTTAAGATATTTTATCTTAGTCCTTACCTTGATTGCATCATTAAACTTTGTAGACAAATCTAGTCTCATATTCTGTCCTTCTGTAGATACTCTTTGGCATTCATCCTACAGAAGTCAAATCAGGCTGAAGCGAGGTTGAACATGTAGAAATAGTAAAATAGATCCTTTCATCTTCTTAATCTGGAAAATGTACCATAAGCATTTTATTCTGACGCTGCAGCTCCCTACAAAGAGACTCAAGCCGCTCACGAACAGCAACAGCTTCAAGAGGCAAGCAAATTCAAAATATAAGATATGTGACTAGGAGAAACAGAAGGCTTTGCTCAAACAAAAGATATCAGTATAAGGAATTTCACACAAAAGATGAACAGAATATAAATAAAATTAGACATCAGAAATAAAAGATGTTAGCAGATGAAAGATCAGTACAGGAAATAAATGCAACAAAAGTCAAGTTTCAGTTGTCCTAGCCAAGGTATGCAATACCGTATCGTACCGGTGTTTCGAGGTTGGCTCGGTACGGTACAGTACCGGTATACTGAGCGGTACACCAGGGCATACCGAGTGGTACACCCTGGTGTACCGAACAATTTTATATATTTTCTTTATTACTGTAGCACTGTAGCGGTACCAGACTGAC